CACCAGTCACAGACAGCAGCTTTCTGAAGCAAAAAAAATAGGACCCGAAAACACTTGAAGGTAGTGCGTGCCTTGATGAAGAGCCTATGCAGCATCTTAAGCGCCACTACTGCCGTAGACCTGATGCACAAAATCTTTTAAGATGACCCGTTGAATTCATATCTGACTGGAAGACATGTGGCGAAACCCCTTTTTTCCGATTCCTCGGACGGTGGTGGCAGTAGCAGTAGTCGAGGCCGTGGGGCAGTAGCGCGGATATCGGAGACGGTGAACGGCTAGTCAGCGGGGAGGACGTTGGACTGGATCCAACTCGACCACCCCCTCCCCTGATGGGCTCTTTCGAGGGCAAGTTTGCCGTTCTTTCGGTTTCTGGCAAAGTCAAAAGAATCACCACCACACCCTCTTTATTCACAACTAAATGCTAGTTAGTGTAAAGACGAAAACCGTGCTACTTCAAATCTCCGCCGACATAAAGTGCTTCATCTTCATCCACTAGTCGAAAACCTAGCAGGGAGCAGTACTCATACATCACCATAAAAAATGAATTTTGTGGAACTCATCGCCGGGCGTTACCACAGATATATTACAGACAGCCCTGATTTCTCTAACACCAGGCGATTCGGGAATCCCTCTAGGCGATCTAACCGGCGACGGGGGGGGGGGGAGGGAGGCATTTGCACCTTCACAGCTTCACTATTTCCGGTTTGAAAGTCTGACCCTGTTGAAAAATGTGAGCTCTTGTGAAGCTGCAGCAAGCTCGTAAGGCCTCCATGATAAAACCGTCAACTCTCGTAAGACTTTCTCGATGGCTAGAGTCGATGGGAAGTGGCAAAAGTGCGAAATGCCCCCCCCCCCGTCGCCGAAGCTGCGCCGTCGCCCCTGCGTGAACGACCGCGCTCCACATCTAGTCATTGAATCTCATTACACTCTCGTCATACGGATGCGGGGCGGGTCATTGCGCCGCTCCCCGCGTTTTCGCGGTGCCAAATCTTCTGCACAGTTGTTGAAGGTGAGCAAAATGACCATAAAGTCATATAATCCTTCGTATTACTCGTTTTCTACCACTTTTTGTCGCATACGCGTTTCAACGAAAAGGCTGAGAACGGCTTCAAACAGTGTGCGCACTCCTACTGGCTGATACGCCCGACAGTCCGTAATGAAAAGGAGATATGCTTGTGATTGAGTGCGTTGAACACGCGACAACCTATCGACGTGCTATATCAGGCAGATCGTTGTTGGGGAATCCCACCGGGGGTCGTACTTTACTTTTTGGCCCTTGTTATGAGTGGTGTGACTTTTTCGCTGTTTCCTGTTTCGGTGTATTATAGTCACCCCCCCCCGCCTCGACTTTCGATGAGAAGGGACTGCCGGATAAGGCCTAAGGGGAGGGGGTCGTCGTACAACATCCCAAAAAAAAGGGGGCGGGCCCCGATACGCGACCCCGATTTAATAATCCCCAACCAGTGAATGTGCTGGCCTGTTGATGATCAAGTCTAATCGTAGATTGTAGATAATTCTCACCGAGGGGTCGCGTTTAGTCGATGGGGATGGGGTGGGGTGACTTTTCTCTTTTTCCGTGTTGCATAGTCTCTATACCCTTCCTCTCCCCAAAAAATTGGCAAAATGCTTGCCGGCAGTTTTTCTTTTTGGAGAAATTAGGGGACTTCTGGAAAAGGGAAATAGGGAGAAGAGGGTCGTACGAGAACTGGAAATTAAAGGGGGTCGTATTTGTCAGTTCCTTCCCCAACAGCAGGACGGGTCCTGAATGTGATCTGTTTGACGGTCAAACTGCTAATTCAGTCCCAATTCACCATTCGTCATTGACAGTACAATGTGAATGGGACTGAATTAGCAGTTTCAACTGTTGGAGCGCGATCAGTCGCCCTATCCCCGACCGCACAACTGAATTGTTCACTTACAGAACATACCAAGGCACTTGGGAGCGGATGGGCCAGTCCGGGTGGTCTTTGCCTTTTCCCGACCACTGATGGGTTGGGGATTAAAGTGTTCGATATCAAAGCAAGGCAACCAGATAAAATACAGTTATTATCATTGCAAACGAGAGGGTGTGAAGGGGCATGGATTATAGCGTAATCAGGGCTGCCCTTTACAGCATACTGACTCGCAACAATTGATGGAAAAGACGGATTTTGCTCCTTTTCTTCAAACTTCAAGGCTTTTTGCCCTTTCGCGCGCTTTCTCATCCGGCAGGCAGAGTATTTTCACCGGAGTGCGATATTTGTGAACTTCAGTTGCTCTTACCTATAGAGTCCCTTCTGTCATATTCCATCCTCCACAGTTTCAGTACAACAACATCCATTGCTTTCTCTGTCATTTTCACATTAGCTTGAATCTGAAGAAAATCTGATGTACATCAAGTAAAAAAGTCAAGAAGATAGGTTAAGTGATGTCAAAAGTGATCGCGGCATGATCCATGATCCGCGTGCGTTTGCGGCGCGTCGATAAACGCTCCACAAACGCACGCGTCACAGAGATACGGGATGGTTAATGGGCATGGTTTCAAAAATCTTACATTTTCTATGGCAACCAATGTGTCAACCGATTTCTCGGTGCCCATCATCACAGCCAGACTACCAACGGATGCGTCCAGACGCATTTTGATGGTACGATCTTCCTCCACATCCGTTGAAGAACTACGTCCACGTCTTTTCCTTGTACGCGACGAACTTTTTGAGATTGACGTTGTGAAGCAGTGAGAGATTCCACACTCAAACTCATATATAAGCGAAGCCAAATTGAACAGGGAAAAATAAAGAGCCAATACCTCTGACTAAGTTGTCTACTGAGCTTTCGGCCCGTTTCAATAGCCTCCTCAATTTGTCCTTCTTTTCCTGGTTTCAGGGCATTAATCTCTCTTTGCATCTTTTCACCGAACATTTTCAGTTCTAACAGGCCTTCCTGGAAAGAAGCCAAAATTACAAAACTGCATTCATCCAGCTTTACTCAGTAATACTTACCTGGTGAAGGGCTATGTTAAGCTTTCTGAATTTGAAGTCGATCGCCTGTTCTGTCATGCGGTATTCAGTTGCGAAGAAAGGCGACTCAGGATTAGCCTGGAGATTGAAAAGGATATAAAGCGAATATGAATGGTGTTAAACGACTAAAATCTATAGTTCATACCTGAACAAATTTCAAAGTCATCAGGGAACCTTCCTGTTCGTCGTTATCGATCAGGTAAAGGTTCTTTCTCTTAAGATCCAGAGACTTGAATAATGGCATCGAAATACGAATTGCACCCAACTGAAATGTAGTATCACTTGTAGAACATATTAGGAACAGCACTAAGAATTGTCGGAAGCTGTAACGAGGCAGCTGACTGACTCAGCTCAGCGGAGCCGCGCGCCTTCCCTTGCTCGAGATTCATGCGCGGGTCTGAGGCCAGTGACTAAAGGAAGGTTTTGTGAAAGTTTTTCAACTCATGTCTATTTTTTTCTTCTAACAAGGAGAACGCAGACGACGAAAATCGTGTGCGGCATAGTCCCATGGATGAGACGTACTCGCGCCACCGCGAGGCCCAGCACAATTACGTTAGCACCTGACTCCCTCGACGCTGACGTAGATGGGAGGGTAAACAAAGCGGCGCAGCTATATCTGCTTTGGCGGACTCATACATTCTGATCGTCTGAACTTCGTTGAGAGAAAACGTCGTGGAAGGGAAGCGACGCAGAGCACCGCAAGGCGACATCTCCGGGCTAATCGCGAGCGAGTGGATACCCGTTATTGAGAGCCAACTGCTACACCAACAGGACCGCCTTCAGCGATTAATCCGCTTTTTTGCATACATTCGGCTAGGAAGTTTTCCGGAACACAAACTGTAGAGAAAATTTTACAAAAAATGGAGGGAAATCGTAGTGGTGCTCTGTTCGTCTCTTTGAGGCTTTTCGAGGCTGTCGGGCACAATGGTCTCGGGGAACGACCACAAGGATTACAAGATGGTGTGGCTTGTGGTGCAACAGATCATCATCCTTTTACATAACAGATTATTCTCGGTCTTTTCAACACACACGATTACCTCCTTTCCTTTGTAAGAGTGGTACCGCTTGCGTCACTGCCCACCCCCCCTCTCATGCCTAAACCCGCATAGCAGCATTTTAGTTAACTAAGACATTTTCAGATTTCAATTAACAAATAACATACCTCAGCTGTCACAACCATGTCGAAAGTTCGCATTTGTAACTTGCAACCCATTCGGACAATTGAAACATCGCACAACACATCATCTCCACGCATAACAACAAGACCAATCTGAAAAATCAGAACCGTTTTTAAAGGCATATTGCAAGACCATTGTGTGGGCGGAGACTACTGCGCTTTCTACATTGGCACCACCGCTTCACCTTTATCAAATATGAAAAAAAAGTACTGATCCAAACGACCCTGCCTATGCGACCAGCGTCAGCGATCAACTATGAACACCTGAGATCCCACTGAAGGAAAGGAAAAAGAAAAAAAGGCGCTGTTCGGCTTGGGGGCGGGGGGGGGGGCATTCTGCACTTTCGCTAGCTTTTCCTGCTAGTTGAATGCAGGTATCACCTTGGTGAGACCTGTAAACTCCTGTCAAATTGAACGAAGTTGTTGCTGTAGCATAGCTTTACAGGCATTCACAGGTCTCCATGGAAAGCTTGGCCAGTGATCGATGGGAGCAGCAAAATGCCCCCACCAAGCGGAACTGCGCCGAAAAGGTAGTCGTGCAACAAAGAGCTTACCTGATTCAAGTGCAGATCCAATTCTACTTGAATTTGCTGTTCATTCTTTTTTGATTCCTCACCTTCAGTCTGCTTTCCCTCTTCCTTTTTCTCCTCCGCTGTTTCTATCTGAAAGCAGATGAAATATTACTGGAAAAAATGAACGAACCACAACTGGCCAAAACCCGTTTTCGAGCCAACCTCCTGCGTCTCCATGATGGTCTTCATTTTGGCTCGTGCCTTGAGATTCACGTCTTCAGGCAATTTCACCTCTACTACAGCCGGGGTTGGATCAGGTTCCGGTGTTGGGATCGATAGCAACACATGAGTTAAAAGTAACAATCGAGTATCCGATATTCCCACAACAATATCTGGTAGTGCACCCATAAGTCGTATCCTGTAAGAAAATATTTATGGAAAAATATTTATGGAACAACTGGTGCGGTAAGGTCACGGCTCGGTGAGACCTGTGAATTCTTGTCAAATGTACGGAAAGTTCCTGCTTTCACAAATTTTTACAGGAATTTACAGGTCTTCATAGGGTGATCGTCAGCACAATAGGGAGAAGCAAAATGCCCCACTAAGCCGAACTGCGCCATAAATTCAAAACCGAATAAAACCCTACCTTGGGAGTCTAAGATCATCTATGGAACATTTGTGGAATCTAATATCAAGACCTGTTGGTTTCAGTATGTGCAAAGGACTATTCTTATCTGACAGTGCTGCACGGCCTTGCTCCACATTCTGAACATTAATACGTTCAAAATTTTGAAAAAAAACCTAAAATTTTGACATTTCAAACTCACATCGGCCATGCAAACCACAACATTACTGAGTTTTATACGGAACTTGTCATACGCTAAGTCCATCAACTGATGAAGCTTATCTTTTCCTGCTATCGCACTCTGAAACAAGAGTAGGTAATCTTCATTACATTGAAAAAAATCAACGAAGAATGGATTTTATTGTAGTTTCAAAGAAAGCTTCCGCAACCACCGGATGGGAGGAGCCCGCATTACGCCTACATCACAGGAACGCCCTCGCATTCACCAAGTTAGAAGGAGGGCACACTAGCGAAGGAGGATTGATGGAGAAAAAACTTTGCAAAATAGAATCCCCCTAGTACGACTCCTCCCTTCTACATCCTGTTCACCATCTCACTAAATTCTCCCTATTTCCGACCACTTTTACAAGATTTTTCTCCAAAATTCTCCGGATTGTCGTGAATAAAAAGTGCCTTGAGTTATCACAAGAATGCTGAGTTGTGGGCAAAAGTCGTGCCCCAGGCGGGAGTCGAACCCGCACCTCACGCTTTCCGGGCGTAACGGATAGCGCACTCGCCCGGAAAGCGTGAGGTGCGGGTTCGACTCCCGCCTGGGGCACGACTTTTGCCCACAACTCAGCATTCTTGTGATAACATTCGGAACGCGTACTGCGGCGTTAAACAGCAGTTATCATAACAAAACAGTGCCTTGAGTGATACGGCGACGAGGGAGAAGGGACAAGGATGAATAGCTCACATGAAACGGGAAAACTTAGAAATAAAAAAGTTAACAACCACAAAACACTTTTCACAAAAGCATAAACGACCCTTCTCCCTCCCCTCCCTACAAGCGACTGCCTTCGCTGGAGATCCGCAATGTACGACG